AGTAGTAGTAGAAGTAGTAGCACGGAGTCTGGAATTGTGCCCGGTATATGGCAACAGGCTCACCCCCTATTACATGGGACTCGTAACATAAATAGTGAAAAGTGGGTGTTACATTGTATAGTGGCATATTGTGCACTTCGGCCTACCCCTTCGGGATAAAAGGCGTAATGTTATGTTATGTTATGTTATGTTATATTATGATTATTGCCATTTACTTTTAATGATGTCTACTTCGAAGAAAGTTAACTGAAGAATAAGAAAAGGAATATGTGTTTATAGTTACCATATTACATCATATTGTTACTATCGTGAGACATACTAAATTAAGTAATATCGCGGGTTACTCACGTGAGTATACTGAGAAAAGCTTTACTAGTTTCGAACCACATAGGGGTTCTTCGATAGCGACGTCGCGCAGCTCACTGAGTAGTACAGATTTTCTTAGTATATTCACGTGAGTAACTCGCGATTTTAGTTAACATATTGTTACTGTTTAAAGTACTTTACCGTTGATTAGATATTAAATCTAGGTACATATAATATTATTACGTTGATTATGTTTTCGCAAATAACTGCGTAAAGTATCTACTTTTCGTACTTACCCATATAGGTACCTACAATAGTAATCGTAAAGGTCTAAAGTCAATGAACCAATGATAACAACGTATTTTCCCCAGTTTCATATTACTTTACGTAACGCCTTGTATTCCCCAATTTAATTAAGAGATAGGCGTATGTACCTACATATATTATTATGAAATTTTATAGATGATTGCCAATAGCACCCAAGTGTTACCAACAAACCACTAATTGCATTTTCAAAAAAAGATGTTAATAAAATAGCTGGTTTATTGTCATCTAATGACCGTTTCAGTTAGGAAAAAAGAGAATTTAAAAACTAGAAAAAGCAATCGATTTTTCTTTGACAAGCCCGCCACTACTTCTCAAAACCGTTGCAACTCCTGTAAGCCAGGATCTACAGTAGATACAACCATGAAAACACCGTAACACTGAAGCCTGGTGCGTCCCAGGGACATGAATAACTGTCTTGGTTTCCGCAACGAAGTGAATCAGATGATATTAAAATAAGAGAAAAAGAAAAAAAACGACAGTTTCCATAGTGAATTACTGCAGGAGACCGAATGAATTAAGCCTAAAGGCACAAAAAAGAGGCTGTACAACTGGGTGAAGCCCAAATATGGCTAAAGAGTAAGTCGGTCCTATGTGAGCTGTTATACTTGCTTTCAAATAATAGGAGTCGATTATTATTAACAAATATTTTTGGTACAAATCAACCTTTGTTCAATAAAAGGCGTTACTAGCCTCTGCCAGCGGCTACGCCCGCGTTCAAGAGATTAAAAGTACCCGATAATAGTGTAGACTATAAATCCCTGCACCAATTTTCATTTAACCCTATTAATTAGCAATTATTGCGTGAAAGAGCAACAAACATACCTGCGTATATACATATATATGCAGTATGTATTTATCGAGGGGTAACGGACTATTTGGTTTAACTCGTCGAGTACCGTCATTATAGACAGACACAATTATAGAACAATAGGTTGCGGTCACCGGTGACCGCTTGGTGTTTGACAGTTTAAGCGACATTTTGGGCGATATTGAGTTATATATATATATTCGGAATCAGCTAATTTCTGCGTCGAATATTTATATAATAAATCATCGAATGACTGCTCCCGCCTGGGTGAGGCGGGAGGGAGTGTCAGACTCTTACTGACTAAAAACCACCCCGTTCCTTCTCCGGCACGTCGAGCCGGAGCCCCGGTAACCCGTTAGGTTCTCCGCGACTCCGAAATATACACTGTTTAATTTGTGTTTTCAAAACTCGAAATCTTGACTGGTCAGGTTACCTACCGCTGAGTTTTAGGAAGACTGAACATTAAACATAAATTCAGTTTAGTTCATTCACCTCGTATGTGGTTTGCAGTTTTTGCATACCTGCTTATATGCTATGCCACAACTTATATTAATAATATTGTCTGCAATATATAACGTAACTAATTAAAAGGGATGGCTTCAATTTTAATGTGATTTTAATATAAATATAAGATGTATGATAATAGGAAAAAAAATATGAAAATTAAAAATCTAATTAGTCCGTCAGTTAGGTAATGAAAAAATATTAGACACGTATTTTTTTATTTTGTTGCCTAATAAAATGATATTTAAATATAACGAATCAAAGTTTAGGAGTGGGGGCTAATACGTCATTTCTACGTACAAAATGTACATAGAAGTGACGTCACGCGACATTTCAAATCAATATATCGTTGAAAGTATTTGTTTCTGTAAAAAAATAAAAATACGTATGTAACGTTTTAAAATAATCTACTAGATGACAATAAAATAAAAATTAGTCATCTACCCTATTATACTTTTAATCGATTAAGGCATTAGTGTTTGCTAGCCATCCCAATAACTAATTAATTACCGAATTCATATAATAGGACCTAGGTACTTACTACCACGCAGTTTCAACTGCCCTACTTGGTTCCTACGTAACGTGATGTTTTATATGGCTTACTATAGCCTACAGCCTTCCTCTGTAAGTGGACTATCCAACACAAAAATAATTATTCCATTTGAAGCAGCAGTTCCGGAGATAAGCGAGTTTAAAGCAACAAAGATATGCATTTTCATAGTCATAATAAAAATTGCTGTGCCTGCATTAAAATAGGTCCTAAATAAAAAAATCAGCCGAGCGTACGGCGCGTCGCATACCGCGCGCGCCTAAACGAGCCATCATACCACCACGGATGGAGCCCAATAGGGCTGGTGGCGATACGGAGTCGCGGAAAATCTAACGGATTACCGGGGCTCCGGCTCGAAGTGCATGAGTAGGAACGGGGTGGTTTTTTGTTAGTAGGAGTCTGACACTCCCACCCGCCTCACCCAGGCGGGAGAAGTCTTCAGATGATTACCGCCCTTTAAAAAAATAAATATACACACCTAAGTTAGGAAAATTGCATTTCATGTTCCATTCCAAAGATTGTAAGCTCTTTTTGCATATAAAAGGGAACTTCTTATTGCATTGGTCATCATTGAGGGTGCCATCTTGTCTCAGTTTCACGCAGTCTTCGATCCCACCAGCATCATTCGGTTCCCCTGGACCCCAATTGTTGTACACATCTGATACTGGAAGACCTGTAAAATAAAATTTAGGGACTTATTGATTTCTTTTTATTGTCGGGTTGGCTTGGAGGTTTAAGACGTCTGTTTCTCAGGGATGACGGTGCCGGCTCGAAACATGACGAATACCGATGTGCCTTTTTCTCAGTAATATAAATGTACTTTCTAAGACTATTAGAAACTAGTGACATAAGTATGTACGGCAAAGAAAAACATCGCAGAGAAACTTGGAGCCGCTGGATGCAGGTCGCTTCAAGCCGGCCTACCTGGAAGTCTTTGGGGGAGGCCTATGTTCAGCAGTGGACGTACTGTGGCTGATATGATGATGATGCTGATGATGATAAAATTGATAAAACTGTATCGTTAATATGTTTCTAATTAATTACTCTTTAGTAAATGCTGATTACATGGGACGATGTCATAAATGTATAACATAACGTCAGCTATTAATTTATCAATTTGATGGCTAGAGCAGTGGCGTAACTATCTATACCGTTCGGGACCCGTGGTCAATTCATCGGATGGGTCCCAATAAAAAAGAGAAGTTCAAACGATAACCTTTGAACGGAGCCTCTTCTAGCTGGGGCCTTGGCATTTAGCCGACTTGCCATCCCGTAGCTACGCCACTGGGCCAGAGATAAGTTTAGATAGGAATGGAACTTATAAACATTAAGGATCTGTAACAAAGGAATGAAAAACGAAGCTGTATTCTAATTAAACTGTCAAACACCAAGCGGTCACCGGTGACCGCAACCTATTATTCTATAATTGTGTCTACAAAACCGGTACTCGACGAGTTAAGACCTAGTGAGACCGCCTAGGTATGTACCCATAAAACTGAATTATAAAATATGTAATAATAGTAACGCCTAGCTTTATTATGGATGATATAACTCGTTGTCCAATAAAGTAAATTTTAATAAAATCCTCGCGTTGAACACATTGGCAGTAAGTAATTTCGTTTGGTTTTTAAACGTAAATATTTCGGAAATTAAAGAACTCATTCTCATTGCAATTTAGCGACTACAAATTTATACATACTTAAACTGTCAAACACCAAGCGGTCACCGGTGACCGCAACCTATTGTTCTATAATTGTGTCTATAATGACGGTACTTGACGAGTTAATATGTAGATAACAAATAATAATTTATTTTAACGATATCTGTTTAATAATAATATAACAATAGTTAAGCAGATATCGTGTATTACATCCCGGTCACTTCTCCGAGGATTAACTTACTGCAAATGGTCATGTCGCGTCGAGTGTTTGTATAGCGTTTTATTTTATCAACGTATAATAATAATTAAATATCATACCTAATACAAATAGTTGTGTAATAAGTATATGCTTACCGTCAATAGTCTCAAAAACTCCTTTTACGATTAAATCCGATATCCCCACGTACACCCAACGGTACGGTTGGGTAGCGTTCCAGAACGAAAGCACAGCGTGGGCCTCATCATCGTTTTCTGGATATAATAAACTAGCTCCTTCTAACGCACACACTCGCTTCGCTTCGGACCAAGTTTTATGTAACGTGTGGATCTTATAGAAGCCTTCAACTGCTTCTAAATACTTGTAATCTTTGCGAAAGAACTTTTTGTCTCTTTGACCATCTGTAAATTGAAAAATGTAGGTATTAGAAAATAAAATCATTCCATTAGAAAGGGCAAATATGGATATATAGGAATATAACAAAATAAGTTAAAATTTTCATTACTACTTACATGAATAATCCGATACAAAGTTGACTATGACGAAAAATAACAAAATTTTCGATAACATTTTGAGAGGTGACGCGACATGCGTCGTGTGGCACTCGAGGCAAACGTATGAGGTCGCAGAACGGATTCTCCGCCCGTCTACGCAATTTGCATAAAGATATATATAAAGACGTATGTAGGTATATAAGAATCTTTATCGCGTGTCAAATGTTATTCTACACGTATGTTTAATAACAGGAAAATACATATGGTCGAAGTCGAACAACTTCGAAATGTCTAAGCTCATCTTGTTTATCAGGGTTTTTTGGGTTTAAAAATTAATTAGATTCTATTACCTCTCTTATATCCGTTACATACCTACATAACGTAGGTGGGAACTTCACTGATTTAAAAGTTTGAGAATACAGTTACTCGAAAAAAAAGTATCTTTATGTGATGACGACCGACCACTACCCACGTATAGTAACCTCAATCGTTATACTCGTGTCTTTTTGGATTGAAATAAAAAGAAAGGCAAGGAAATTGCCACTGGATGTGGGTTGCTTCCAACCAGCCTTTCAATAAGTCCTTGGGGGAGGCCTATATTTAGCAGTGAACATCTTGTGGCTGCAGGGGCGGATCTTGACTTTGTGGGGCGCTGGGCTCTATTCTGGGAGCCTATTTTCTAGGAAGTGTCCATACAGTACCAGCGATTTTTTCTCTGATAGAAGATTTGGAGTCGACCAGGTTAGCGCAATTGATGAGGCGGCAGATGCGGTTCGGCCAAGATACCCTTCGACCTAGTTGGTTTTAGTAGACTTTTATACCCATCACCAGGAGTCATTGTTCCTATACCAGTGCACTGACCATGCTGCAAGGGAGACGCGTAAGCTAAGCTGGTGCAGAAGGCCACAAAGGAACCCGATGTTGATACGCACAGAGCCAACAGCTTAAACCTTCTGCTGACAACTAATCCAGACCGCTACTCGGTGTCAGTCACGTCACCTCTAGGTAACTTTGATCACAGTAAAATCTGTCTGCACACATTTCTCGCCGGATTAAGATCCAGGGCTAAAGCACCAGAGAACCTCAGCGAATGTGGCGATACATTTCAGCAGATTGGGATGGGATGCGATCTTTTTGCGGCCTATTTGCTTCCCTTCTGATGACCCGACAGCTTGTACATATGCTGTAACGGGGGTGTTGCGTCAAGGCATGGAATGCTACATTGTATTGGTAGCAACTTTCGGTGGTACTCGTCCATGGTTCGATGCCGATTGCAGATTATGCGCAGAGACGTAAAGTACGCGGTATGCTTGGCATGGACGGACGCCGTAAGGCTGACAACTCTCATCAAAAGAGGAGAAACCAGACTGCCACGTCATGCAAAAAGATAATACAGATAGCTCGGTTTAATCACATTTGCTGAATAGGGACAAACTGCTACCTACGCAGCAGGTGGTATAGCGTTTTGGTCCCACATTTGCTAAGGCATTGGCTAAGGTGGTCGCACATACGTATCTAATATTCAAAACTAGTGTGTTTGATATTTTTACAAAGTGAGGCTAGTCCTTATCATATTATTTTGACCTGAGGACCCTGTAATATCAATACTATGTATACATATGTACCTCTACATACTTACATATAATAAAATAACTGGCAAGAGACTGCGTACTCTGTCAAAGTTTCGCAGTTGTACGCCGCACGTGCATACAACAACAATCATGGCTTCTAAAACATTACTAGTTTTACTTATTTTATACGTGATAACGGAAACCTCTGGTAAGTTATACAGTAATAAGTGAATAAGTATTAGCCTTCTTTGTTTTTCTTGCCTTCAAGTTCCCGCCGTTCTTCTTAAATTTATACCAAGTTTCTTTAACTCGTCGAGTACCGGTTTTGTAGACACAATTATAAAACAATAGGTTGCGGTCACCGGTGACCGCTTGGTGTTTGACAGTTTAATCGCTATCGGTATCCGTATGAACGACCACTACGGGACAAAGACCTTCTCCCTTAGTCCTCCTTAATCCGTTTGGATTGGATCGCTATCATCACATCACATCAACAGGCTATACATGCCCACTGCTGAGCAAAGCCTCTTCTCACACGGAGAATGTTTGATCATTAATCACCACGCTTGCTCAATGCGGGTTGGCGATTTCAAATTTACAATTAGAAATTATAAGCCCAGGTTTCCTCACAATGTTTTCCTCCACCGTTTGTCATTGGTGTCTAAACAATCTTAGAAAGTACATATAACTCGGAAAAAGTCACATTGGTACTTGCCGTTGGTAGGTTTCGACTTCGAGCCCGCACCCTCATGCATGAGAAGCGGGCGTCTTAAATAATTTTATTACAAACTCACTTTTCTCGGAATCATGATTTATCCTTTTTTATTTATTTCATTGTCATCTTTCTTTCCGTCCATTCTTATTTTAAAGGCAGCCTCGTTTTGTGATACGATTTTCATCAAAGATCTTCTCGTACCAAAGAACTCTTCTCTCTGTCATACCTAATTAATTATAGATACCGTGTCATATTTCATCATTATCTTCATTTTCTATAGTAATAATAACTTTATTACAAGGTTGAAAGGCAAGAGATTAGCTGTTTGCTTTTTGCAAGCAGTTTGAGAATCGCTGCTTGGTTAAAATCAAATATTAGTTGGAAGATTATTATTTTCTCACTGATTCTTTTTTTTTCAGTAGGACAAGAAATAGCCTTCCGATCTGATTACACATATATTGCAGAACAAGAAACCTTCTATAAGATTCACCTGACCCCATTGTCCTGGTTAGAAGCCAAGCGCATATGTGCTCTTGAAGACGCAATTCTATTCCACCCAGAAAATGTGGTTGAATCCGAAGCTGTCTTCTCGTTTATGAAAAATGCCACACCATGGATACATGAAATATATGTATCATTAAATGATATTGACGTAGAAGGAATGTTCCAGACCATTGATGGTAAGTAGTTCATCTATCAGTTCCGCATCTAAGTAGTTTCTCTTGTAGGTACTCACTGTTTTATGAATAACTAGCTTCTGACAGCGACTTCATACGTTACCTACGTACAAATAGATGCTTAACTTAGGTAATTCCCGTGCCCATGCGAATTTAGGGCTATCCTTTATTAGTACACACTCCCCAAGGAACATACCTACTAGGTTTTAGCTTCTTAAGTCCAATAGTTTCGGTTGACATTGTCTGTCAGTCAGTAAGTCAGTCAGTCAGTAAGTAAGTAAGTCAGTAAGTCAGTCAGTCAGTAAGTAAGTAAGTCAGTCAGTCAGTAAGTCAGTCAGTCAGTAAGTCAGTCAGTCAGTAAGTCAGTCAATCAGTAACGGAAGTGTTTTATTGTTGATATGATAATAAAACCATCCCTCTCCATTCCATCGAGTTAAGTTTAATTATAAATTTGAAATCGCCAACGGTGATTCGACAATCGAAAAAAGTGATCGGGACACAAAATCATTATATGAATATTATTCATATATCAGACAGAAGAATACATACTATATGTAGGTATCACCTGCACATCCGCATAAGCTGGGGAACCAGGTACTTACATACATGCCTGGAAGGATAGATATTATCTCTGGGTCACCAGGCTGGCATAGGCTGCTATTCTTGGCAGCCCCTACACGCAATTTAAGGGAAAGGAACCCTGTATCTTATGAGAGGACCTTATGGTGCCGAGAATCCGTCGATTTTTGCCAACCAACGCTGTCACCCTTATTTTTTAACCCCTATAACCGTCGTACTTTCTAACATAGAAGCAACGAAATAGTTAATTCAGAAAACTGGTGCAATTAGCGACGAAATGGGTGAATGTTTCATACATATACTACTTAATCTTATTTCTAGGTAAACTAATCTCCGATGTATACTTCAATTGGAGGGCAAACGAGCCGAACAATAGTGGTGGTAACGAGGATTGCGTTGCCATGCTAGACGATGGAAAAATGAATGATAACGATTGTAGCTATAAGAAATATTTTGTCTGTAAAAAACCGCTGCATTCAGTGATATGGAATTCAAGATGCAATATGTCGAGTCCAGGTACCTAACTTATTCCTACATGTACCTCTATTTGGCAGATTTTAGACAACTGAGTGACTTCTTTGATGTTATATTCTTCTTCAGATTACACATACAGCGAGCAGACAGGCAGTTGTTACAAGTTGCACACGAAGCCTGTGGACTGGTTGGAAGCGTTTGACACGTGTCGTAGAGAGCAATCTAACCTGGCCGTGATAAACTCTCAGTCAGAAATGAATGTCCTTGTGAATCTAACGATATATGCCCCAGCGCTCGTGATTTCGAAAGCTTACCAAAAAGGAATATTTCATTTGGGCTTCGAAAACAGATATAATAATGGTTGGGTGACAGTTGAAGGTATGGGACGTGCAATCATTATCAATTATTGCCTTCATTACAATTTAAGTATAACACTATTATTGTCCATGTATTTAATGGTTTCAACAAGTAAACAATTTTAGGAAATAAATACCAATCAATAAGATTAAATACATAATTAAGAAAATACTGCCTCGTTGGCCGAGTGGTCGCAAGTGCGACTGCCGGGCAAGAGGTCTCGGGTTCGATTCCCGGGTCGGGCAAACTATTACTGGGTTTTTTAAAAAAAACTCAGTAGTAGCACGGAGTCTGGAATTGTGCTCGGTATATGGCAATAGGCTCACCCCCTATTACATGGGACTCATAACATATATAGTGAAAAGTGGGTGCTACATTGTACAATGGTATAATGTGCACCTCTGTCTACCCCTTCGGGAATAAAAGCCGTGACGTTATGTTATGTTAAAAAAATACATAGGTATTATAGGTAGTGCGTTTTTTTATTTCTTCAGTTTTTGAGTTTCTTGTAGTTGATTATTTTGAAATCAAAACTAAAAAATTAAATATTTAGGCTTAGTTGCACCATACAAAATAGTTATAGTATTAGTTAGTGTCATATTTAACAGTAACTGTAACGCTGACTTTAACAGTTACAGCAAAATGTGTTGCACCAGCGAATTCAGTAGCTTTGTCAAGTTAAAAGTATTTGCAAGTCAAATGAGATGTGAATTTCCCCAAATTTGACGTAGGTAATATTTTAAACATGGAAAGACTAAAGATAATGGTAAAAAGTATCGAAAATTTCAGTACATTGGACTGAAATTCTCGAAAATTATTTTGATATTATAATAAAACCTCCTTATTTTATCATGATGTGATGAATACCAAAGAGTATAATAAGTATAGGGGCTGAATACGATTATTAAAAAAAATATGATTTTGGTGTGTCATCATTGTCACTTGGTATGTAGCAGAGGAGCATGATTTTTTAGGACATAAGCTACTAATAAAATATGTACTGTAATTATGTTTTGATAGATGCATTGTTGACACCTACTTTAACATTAACCAGAGAAAAGTGAGCGGTTACAGTTATAGTTAAAGTTACGTCATAACTTTAACTATAGTTGTAACAATTTGTCAATTGGTGCAACATCATTTTGACCCAACCGATACCTACTTTAACAAAAATTTTGACGTTTGTTATTGTAAATTGGTACAACCCACCCTTAACAGCTCGTTTCCGTATATTGGTTTGGTCGACGTCGAACGTCGTTTTTGAGTTATAACCCCATACGAGATTATGTTGTAATAAAAAGCTACTCTGTATCTGTGGGTATAATATTGTTCACAGGAATGCCAATGGAAACTCAGAATGCGACCTGGTGGGGTGGCTACTATCCTGGCGACGAATGCCATAACAAGTGTGGAGGTATGTTCTATAATGGATACCTGGTCAACAATGACTGTGGAATGAAGAGTTTATTCATTTGTGAACACAAAGTAAACAACCAGGAAGCAGATAAACTGGATGGAAACGTTAATTCCCACCAACTATGGTAACGTCATGGTTTTAACACTGGTCAAGAGGAAATAAAATATATTTGTTGCACATGGGTTTTACTTTATATTTTTATTATATACTTAACTACTAAGTTCAGACAACATCGAACGCGTTTCTGGGATAAAAGTTACCCCATGTCACCATGAGTTATTTCAGTCCAAACTGTTCACTATTTCTGCGCCAAATTTCATCCATATCCGTCCAGTAGTTTGTTCGCTAAAGACTAACAGACAATATCCTCACAATCTTTCACTTTTGTATTAGTAGCATAAATTAAATGTGCTGCTAATACAAAATTGAAATTATTAGCTTTTTAACAAATTACAACGATTGACCATTTTTATTTTCTCGTCCTTTTTAAGAATCAATCTTTCGATTTTTATTTGTAACTAAATTATAATTTAGCACCTACGATATTTATTTAAATACCGACTTATTTGTGATTCCCTAAATTTAATAAAATTACAATTGGACAAATCACTTGCCACATTTGCGCCATCTAGTGACCAGAATACGGCAACCCCCATTACAGAATGTAGGTAATTTACTGAGTTCTGTGCCCAATATGTACTATTATTATTTATTAGTATTATAGGGTATTTTTGTAGGTCCGATGATTTGAAATAAAAGACAGAAAATATTTTTTATAATTTTATCTTGAGGTGTAAGTTTATTCGCATTTAACAATGTTTCATACAAATTTCCTCATTTTGTACACACCTTCCTTGGTTTTTGTTTTGTAGTTATTATCTTTTATAAAAGTTGTTTCTCTAAATTTTAACATGTCGTCATGTCTGTTCCCTATATCTAATTCGCTTCACCACTGTTGTTAAACCATGTAATATTAACAGAGGATTTACTAAGGCAAAGTATTAGGAGGAAAGTAAAATAGTTACTGCGGACTAATAGATTGAAGAAATAATAATTATACAAAATTATTGTGTTTCGATGAACACGGAATGGGCCCTTATCTCGTAATATCAGCCTTCCCATCGTTCGACGTGGCACTACAGTGACAGAGTCGGCTTGTGAGGCAGCGCTCGGCCGCCTCTACGTATTACTAGAGATTGCACACATCGCACTGGTATCAGTGGACTCCAAGCCAGTCCACGAGGCTGCCAGTTACATCTAATAAGAAAATTCGTTACTAAATAACAACTAAATCACTTTAAAATCAATTCAAAATGTACATTATTCATCTTATCCACGTAAACAAATCTAATCTGCTACAAAAAATTAGCAAATTTAAATACAAAGATCACCTAGTCCGTCTATTATAAAATTAATCACTTAAGTATTAGAAAAACACAATAGTGAGAGTGTTTGTTGCGATGCAACTCACTTGTGATATCGTTTATTATGCCTTCTAGTGTACATTCAACGAATGAATAGTGAAACATATTGCGTTGACACATTAAAACTAAAAAAATGACTGTACATGTTATATTTAATATGTAAATATTTGTACATATTGCACTCTGAAGTAACAAAATTATTAAGAAACATCTGTCGAAACGAAGAATATATACGCAGAACAAAAATATCTCAGTAAATACAAATTCAAAGTAAATAGCAATCACAATGTTCGTAGCTCGTACACTAATCTAAGTCCCTATGGCTTACAAAGCTTACAAAAGATAAATACAGAGGTCATTTACAAAAAATATACTTCTACCCAAATAATATAAAAATAACAACAGCCATCTGTACTTTCTTAGATGAATAAAATTAAACGTACATATGTCAAACATATGACAATAGAATCTAAAGGTACCTATGTACAAAGTTTAATGGACACAGTAGATTTTATCAAATCCACCATATATTATTTTATTAGACTGGACGTGCCACGTTTGGTCACTACAATACTCAGTGCTTCCGAACAATATGAACTAAAGTATAGATCAAAAGGCATTGAAGAAGGTATCAGCCCGTTACATCGGCTGTGAAGTCGGTCCAGTCTCACCCGCTGCTGTACCCCTTGTACCGTCTCTCCAACAACTACATCTCGTCAACTCGTCAAGCGATATAAACTTATTATCTTACTAATGTTCCATTATCAGCTAAGACACAAATTATATTAGGGTATCTCATTATTTATTACTTTCTCATGTGAGATTATTACATACTTAATAAATCTATTACAATTTCGAAATTGAATAATATGTATCAAATACGACCGGCTGTGCACCGACAGAAGCCGAAATCTAACAAGCTATTTATGAAACTACGCGTCGAATGATGTATAATAATTACTTATCGAATGGCAGTTATATTTGTCACAAACTTGAGATGCAACGCACTCGCGACCGAGCCCGCGGTGGCTGCCGTAACTCGGAGAGCTTGAGTGTCCACCGCGGGTTCGCTCGTCGTGCATCTCAGTCATAAGGCAACGTATCGTAGCGCTAGATTTCAATGAATGTTCATTCCTATCACCTACAGTTCACAACAGAAACGTATTCATCAATACAAAACCCAGCTATAACACGCATACAAGATCGCACCATGCAATAATTATACGATTATAATGGCAGTGTGTTCGTTATCAATACGCCCCTATAACACCAGAGACACTTAAGACACTCCAGTGACGTTTGTGCTTCGTTTGCTATTTTAGAAACGCCTAATGCTACAATAAAATTATACAATGTTAATCGAAAAGATCGTTTTAAGCGGCCTAGCGCGCGGTCCGCGGTGCAAGCCCGATCGTCTTACGCTGATTTTATACGTATATTAAGAAATGCATTTCCAAAACTCCAAACATATGTTATTATGTAAATATACAACACACTTAATGGCATGTAAAGAAGACACATTCAACACGCACCAAACAGACACTTACGTTACTTATTTATCGATAATGTTATGGATGGTGAAGTATCGCTCGGTCGCGGGACTAGCGAGCTGTGACATGGAGATGAACGTTACATGCGGCATTGGTGTTCTAACTATGAATATTGCGACAGACAGAAGGCTTCGAGACGGACGCTGTACAGAACCATGAACGAGAAATGCGCCGTCGACACAAGCTAACGAAGATGAACCGACACGACGCGAAACGCCAAGAACGGAAAACACGTCTAACGTATTCTTTAACAACGCTTACCGGTAATTGAGATCGATTAATTTTATGTTCTATATACTATGATTTGTCGTCAACGATGTAGGTACACAACACAGGTAACGCGAAATAAGGCATTTCGTATAGAAGTTATCGCTTCACGGTAGTATTTATGTGTCGTATGTGTATATAATAATGTGTTCATATTGCTACGAGGTTCTTACTGTATGGGGAGACGGCAGACAGGTTCGGCCCCTCTACGACCACGTTGCGTGCACGTCGTCTATCAACATGTTACACTTTAGTGTCTACTACACCAATATTGTTCCCATAGAGTAAGCTCGGCCAAATCGACACTAGATCACTATTACTTTTTATATTGAAGCCATAGAATAGAGGTAATTCAGCTGCCATTTTGTACTTTCATATATTATACATAGAATTAAGTAAAGGAATGTTGTATCTAAATAATAAAAATAAATACTTACAAAGATTAATGTTTTATTTTAGGCTCTACCGTTATTATTCCATATCTACGTTACAGCTGCCTTAGAACGTGCACGTAATGTCAGGTCCACATAACAAGCAGAACGGCTTCACACTCGTTTACAAGGACCAGAACAAATAACTGGGATTCAGCCGAACCCGTCTCCGTTTACTTAAGTGTAATGTGACACAAATAGACTATTTCACGTACGTCTAGTTATTTTATTGTATGATTATGAAAGTAGCCATAAATTGCACTGACATTTCAATTGTTACTGGCTTCAGTATCTACGTTTAAGGAGTCAACAGTATGGTGTATTCGTTTAGATACTAATGTCGTGTGATCTTAGTCGTAGAATGGTGAATGTACATCGATTATTATTATATTATTGCGGGCCGAGTGTCCATGTGAATTAAACACGTACTGAAACTAATAGAGGCTTGCATGTGTAGAAGCTATCAACGACACACAGCTTGTATTGTATACGTCGTACTTACATCAGCCTACAGTAGATCAACATGTCATAAATGTAATCACAGCAATAAATTATAATTATTCATTTAGTCGAGGGACGCGGGCACAGGACGATAGAACATGAATCGGAACTAAATCGACAGGACACGATAACACGCCTCACATTTACTATAATATAAACCACGTTGTCGTGACACCACGGGAATGTGGCCACGGCGGACTACACGACACAACACAGTCGACAGCCCAGGAGGCCAGACGTATTGTTCATTTTGGTAAATAAACATAACATAACTTTTCACCCAATAGAAACATCTTTTCATATATTACTTTGTCTCTAATAACTCTCGTAACGTATGTACGTATGTGTAATTTAGGAGGTGTACTTATCGAACGAAGTCTTATCATACAGTCGTATCCGAGTGACCAACTCAGTATCCAGTCGAAAACGAAATAAAGTCGGAGCCGCGGCGGGCGTCGGTCGAGTTGCCGACCGGCGGCGGCGCGGGCCCGTAACGATCAACACTAATATATATTCTCCAAACGTTCAACAACACATATATTCACTAATCTCTCGCACATCATCGTCGTCGGTCACCGAATACGTACGAAATCGGGTACAGGTGTACCCTCTTAAGTGGTAAAATTCGCAGTCCTTATAAATAGGTTGATCACGTCCGACGTCAGTGTCCGTGCACTTCACTAAAACTAGCCAGTCTATGAGCGTTCTCTCCTGAGGGCGGCGGGCGCAGGCTACAGGTGTCCGGGTCCCCGACGGGGCCCGGGGGTCCGCGGGGGACCGGGGGGACCGGTGGGCCTCGGGGGCCGCTGCCGCCGCGAACGGCGCGGGGGCTAGAGCGCCGCGCTTTCCGTCACGGGGTTTGCCGGCGTGGCCGTGGTGGACACGTCCGCCACGTCCCAGATCTCCTCGAGGAACGGCGGCAACTTCCTGTTCTTCAACTTGAGCGAGATGCACATGTTGGAGTTCTGCATGCCCAGGGTGCGCAGCTCCGACAGGACGCTGAGGACCTTACCGT